GGAAAAAAAACTGTTGATGAGCGTCTCGTTGTGACCGTGTTGTCAAGCTTGACTTCCGCTGTCGCCATGTTTACTATTTGACACGAGTTGAGGCGTTGCGTTGTCCACCCATTTTTCTCCCATCCATGAGTTCGACATCGATAAAACTAAAATAAATGATGTCCATATGTCCCCGTGCTCGCATTGATATGCGGCATTATTACAAATGTTTGGCGATTTTCTGAAAAAACGACCGTCATTCTCCCTGGTGTTTCAATGTATACGGTGGTATTTTATTTCGATCGCCATTTTGACCATCGATGCGACATATATGTTTGTCCACCCATTTTTTCCACAATCACCGACGCGACGCCTATAGAATTGATCAAAAAATATTTATTAGGTGTTTGCGGTCGCATTAATAGGTGGTATTTTGGTAAATAATGTGTAACCTTTCGAAAAAATGACTTAAATTAGCGACCGTGTGCTGACTTCCGCCATCGCTATGTTTATTTACTATTTGACATGATTTGAGACGTTGCGTTGTCCATCCATTTTATCCACATGCATGAGGTCGACATCAATTAAAAAAGTTTTTTTTTGTATGAGTCCTTGTGCTTGCATTGACATGCAACATTTATTACAACCTCGAAAAACTCCTCGTCATCGCTAAAATATTCCCAAGCATTCTGATCGACCTCCATTTTGAAAATGACGCATGTAGCTATTTAGCATAATCTCGTTCTCGCGAAACCCCGTAAATCGTGAGAATTGACCTAATTACCATAATTACGTTCGGGATTTTGCGAGATTATTCATGACCAGACGATGAGTTTACTAGTTAGTTTATTTGCGTTGTACACCGTTATGTAAACTCGCACTAATGTGTTTTTAATTATGCAAAGCAACATCGTACAAAGAAAATAACCTTGTTTCCTATCCCTTTGTTGAGGGTCTATGGCTTAACGTATGAGTGATTGTCCGTCGTTACTTTTTTGACATCTTCTTGACAACTACAAACCTGAATACTTTGATACTTGGTATATATGTACCTTGAGTAGACCTCTTTCAGATTTGTTCATTTCATGATGATATCTTCAATTCTTTTGATGAATATTTTTGTAATTTTTGGTAAAAAGTGATATTTTCGTCTTCTTGTTAAAAACTGCAAGTCTGATTGCTTTGATACTATACATATTGTTAATTTTCTAATGATATCTTCAGTTCTTTAATTGAAATGTGCATTGCTAACAGCAAAGCTATCTCAGCCGACAGGCTGCTTGTATTTTATTAAACTCAAATTAAAACACAATCCTATATGGGAACACATTTTAATCGATTTCATATCACTATATGAAAAGTTGGTTCAACTATATTAAAATTTAATTCAATATGTGTCTGTTCCACTGATATCTCAAGAACCAATTATCAGATTTTAATGAAACTTTGTACATAGATGTTTTGGAATAATGCTCAGGTCTGATTGGTTTTTGGTTGAAATCTGTGCATATTAATTACATGATTTGCATAATTAACCAAATTTAAGCATTATCAATTGTTTCTCATATACTACATGTATTAAACAGATTTCAATGAAACTTCCTAATACTCTAAAATAATGCTGAGACCTGATTATTTTTTGACTGAAATTATGTGCATATTAATTACCCAAATTAACAATATGTAGCATTAGAAGTAGACAGACTTGACATGTCTAATCACAATTAAGAGACAAGTAAAATAATGTCGCTTGCAAACGACTCTGTTCTATCATCCTTGACCTTTAAGCATCTGCTTCCGTGCGTGCGTGCGTGCGTGCTTCCATCCATGTGTGCGTGCTTCCATGTGTACATCCGAATGGCGGCCATTTTTGTTCTAAAAAATCATAAAAATCAAGCATTTCTCGGCTGTTTACGGATGAATTTTGTTCAAACTCGATATATACATTAGACATTATGGGACCTTGCTGCAAATAATTTTGTTTTTCAGATTAGATTCAAAATGGCCGACTGGTTGCCATTTTGTTTTATGTCTGACTTGCTTTCACTGATTATGTTCAAATTTTAAATATTCATTATACATCATGTCATAAATAAACAGATATATGGGTTTGACGATCCTATTCAAAATGGCCGAATGGTGGCCATTTTTGTGCTAAAAAAATCATCAAACATCTAGCATTTCTGGATGGATTTCGTTCAAACTTGGTACATACATTAGACATTATGGGTTCCTAATGCACATCATTTTATTTTTCAGATCAGTTTCAAAATGGCTATCTGGTGGCCATTTTGTTTTAATGAATGGGCTTCTAGACCCATATCTCCGACTAGTTTTGACTGATTATGTTCAAATTTTTAATATTCATTATACATCATGTCATAGATATACGAATATATTGGTTTGACGATCCTTTTCAAAGTGGGAAAATGGTGGCTATTTTTGTGCTAAAAAAATCCTCAAATATCAAGCATTTCTGGCATTTCTGGATGAATTTTGTTCAAACTTGGTACATACATTAGACATTACAGGTTCCTGATGCACATCATTTTATTTGTCAGATTGGATTCAAAATGGCTGACTGGCGGCCATTTTGTTTTAATGATTGGGCTTCTAGAGCTATATCTCTTAAATGCTTTGACTGATTATATTCAAATTTTATATTTTCATTATACATCATGTTATATACATATATATATACATGTATTCAAAATGACTGATTTATCTCTCAATATGGACAAGTTCTTTTTTGACGATCAAATACAAATGTCAATCATTTTAATGTTAAAAATATCATATTCCTGACATGGTTATATTCCAGCTATATTACTATAAACAAAACTATATATCTTAATTTGATAACTAACAGGGACTGTGCCATGTATGGCTTGTTGATGAATATTTTTGTCATTTTTGGTGAAAAGTGATATTTTTGAATTCTTGTTGAAAACAGAAAGTCTGATTGCTTAGATACTACACATATTGTACATTTTCTAATGATATCTTCTGTTCTTTAATTGAAATGTGCATTGCTAACAGAGGAGCTATCTCAGCCGACAGGCTGCTTGTTTGTAAAAAGTGATATTTTTGTCTTTTTGTTAAAAACCAAAAGTCCAATTGCTTTAATATTACATATATAGATACTACATATAGGTCTCTCTCAAATTTGTTCATTTGATGATAATATCTTCAATTCTCTAATTTCAATGAATATTTTTGGCATTTTTGATAAAAAGTGACATTTTCGAATTCTTGTTGAAAACAGCAAGTCTGATTACTTTGATACTACCGGTATACATATTGTTCATTTTCTAATGATATCTTCAGTTCTTAATTGAAATGTGCATTGCTAACAGCGGACCTATCTCAGTCAACAGGCTGCTTGTTCAAGACTTTCATCCAAAATTACCTTTCCCTACTGCACTGAGAGAACAACTGAGCATGCTTAGAATAAATGATTAGCTTAGATTGTAATTGACCTTGATCTGAAATAGTGACAGGTGGGTCATACCATTACCAATCTCAGTAGAAAATGTAGAAGGGTGTCAGGGCTACATTTTTATGGGAATTATAGTGGTGATACTGAAACAAACCAAGATCCTGGTAATATACAAAGACCTGAATTAACAAAGAAGTCAAGTTGTTATTAAAGGTACATCAAGGTTTACCATGATTTATGAATGCAGTTTTTTTGAGCATGTAGGAGACATAGTTTTATGACTGAGAATCTAGGAATCTAGTATTAGTGATCGACCTAATTACGGTAAAGGCTTTCCATTATGAGGGGCCCCTTTTTTTACCTGTGTTAGTTGAATCGCCGGCTCAGTTTTTTATTCACCGGGTTCCGAATTTTGGCACTGTGAATTTGCTCGTTTTTTTCACTATCTCATTTTCGTGTTGTTTTTTTTTCGGACTGCAATATGCCTAAGTCGTAAAAAAGACGAAGTATGTCTCGACACAACAGTCGGGACGTAAGACATGCTCATCCTGCCTTTTACAATGCCTGTTTGGGTCCCGCCTATTGCCTTTCACGCTCGGTTGCATCAAGGACTCAGGGCATTGCCTGAGAGTCTCTGCGATCGATGGGATCCTAAAACGTAGTTGCATTGAGGGAGGTAAAAAGCTGAAGGCAAGCGATAAAAGGGGAAATCCCTAGCCGCATGCTAGCTATGTAATGTCTGTTTCAATGAGTGAAAAATCTCTCCCTCCACTTGGTAATCGCTGAGATTGTTGGAGACTTGGCGCGATTTGACTCCCTGCTCGAGTTGGCGGGGGCGACGATTGAGTCAAGACCGCCGGAACAGTTTACCATTGAGGTAACGGAAAGGGCGGTCGATAGTGTGGGAACACCGATGGTGGATCTAAATTCTCCCAACATGGAGTGGGCTTCCCCATCGGATATTACCAAGGCTAATGAACATCGGTCAACCGCTTTTGCGGGGAGATCAGGGTTCATAGTCGCCATGCGACTGACGTTGATAAACGGCGTGTTCCCTCTGGGGCGCCATCATCGGCACTAAGTCCCGCGGTGGAATCGGCACGTCTCTTAGAGACTGAACCGTTTCAATCCACCGGTACTTTACCGTTACCAACGCAGCCTGAGTGCATTGCGCAATCGCAGGGACAGGTCCTGTTGCCTCCCTGTACCGGTTCAGGGGCGGTGGGCAGAGATATTGCCTGTACCACCACAAAGGCTAGGGTCAGGTGTGTCCCTTTCTCCCAGAGATCTCTCCTTCAGAGGGTCAGTGGGGGGGGGGACAATTCACATCAGTGGGAAGGGGAGCACCCACTTCTTTTATAGAAGGGGGCCCTCTCTTCGGAACGGATCGCTTTACGTGTCCTTTACGTGGCCGTATTCCCCACCCTCCTCAGACTCGGGCTAACCAGGCATTGTTTCCTGCTACTTCCCAAGTTCTCTCTTATGACTCTGCGAAGAGGGGGGGGGGTCTCCAGTGTTGGTACCCCTGGACAGGCTGGTACGCAACCCTCTTATGGGGGACAGCAACCACTTCCCCGACAGGAGGGGGCGAGCGCTTTGTTGTTTCTCGTCCCCACTTTGGCGGGGCAGTCACAGGATACCCAACCAACCGGAGCCCAGCTGTCCCTTACTAATATGCAGTTAAGGTAGCAGCTTGTGAACCGTGCAGTGACGACCACGAGACTCTTGTTTCGTACGGGGCTGGTGGTAACCCCCCCCTCCGATGGGGAGTCACCTCTGTTTTCATCGGCGCTCTCCCTTCCCACTGCCGACGTGGAAACCACGCCTGTCAGCCAACTCCCCTGGGCACCTTGTGTGACCCAGGCTATGGAGGGGGCTCAGAAGGTGATGGAGGGGGCGATTGGTACCCTTCGGGGAAAAAGGACAAACAACTTGAACCTGGTTTCGTAGCGGTCACGTTCAATGCCTTCCGTTGGGTCAATCGATACCCAATTGGGGCTACGCAAACCGTCGATGGTTCCCCTGAGTGGGACACTCGCACGGTACCACAGCCTGCTCCACGGGTTCCCCGTCCCGATCCCGGTACCCGTACTTTTGTTAAGGCGGGTAGTGCAGATAGGGAAAGCCACGTTGCATGGTCATTTGACCGGCACCAGAGCCTACTAGTGCATATGGCTTTACGGACGGAACTTAGACCCATTAATTTTTTAGAATGGGCTTCTTTAGCATTAGAGCGCCAGCTAACTTTGCTAAGTTCTGACCATCTGAGTGCTCAGCAATGAACCTGTATCCTCAGGCAGATGGGCCAGTCCCTGGCGGCGCAGAGAGTCTCTGCCCTCTTGGCAGGAGCGGTTTCGGCTGAGCGCGAGGCAGTGCTTGGTCTGTGCACCTATCCTACTCCAGCGGGAGACGAGTTTGATCCCCTGTGGAGAAGGCCTTGGGGGCGTGACCGGCTATTTGGTGGCCTCCCATTCTAGGGACCGGGGGGCCGCGAAGTCTCTTTGAAGGTTTCGCCAGCTGCCTGGACATGGATGGCGGTACGACTCCGGGTCTCCCTCCCCGGGCTCCCCGGGCTTAGTCTCCCCCTCTTCGTCCTCCCATTCTGGAGGAGAGGGGAACACTAGCTCTGAACCCCCGTCCGCTTCCTTCCCGTGGGGTCGTGCCTTATGCAGCACATACCAGCTTGGCGCAGGAGGGTTCTCGATCCCTGGACTCTCGAAGTAGTGTCGCATGGATATCAGATTTCTCTCCGGTCTCCTCCTCCTCTGACTCCTGACCCTCCCTCAGGTCTTATACCGAAGGACGAGGTCAAGGTGGAGACGATCTGACAGGAAGTAGCAAGCCTTCTGGAGAAATCAGGTTTGTGGAACTCAAGCGCTTCCGGATGGATACACCGCTTCAGTACTTCTGTCAGTGCACTCGGGCGATTGGTTGGCGTCGCTGGATTTGAGCGATGCTTACCTCCACATTCCCATTCACCACTCATGCAGCCGGTATCTCAGATTTCCATTATAGGGCAAAGTCTACGAGTTTACCGCCCTCCCCCTTGGTCTGTGCACGGCACCGTATGTCTTCACCAGAGTGCTAAGACAGGTGACCCAGCTGCTACACCGGTCGTCAGTCTATCTGAGCCCATATCTCGATGACTGGTTAATACACAACCGAGACAGGAGGTCATAGTGGAGCATGTGCGGTTGACGCAGACGCTCCTACACGAGTTGGGCTTTTTTAATAAATATTGCCAAGTCCAACCCAATACTGTCCCACAGCCTGGTTTTCTGGGTATGCAGTTCAATATGGGGCAAGGGTGCGTTTGCCCTCGCAGGATTGATGCGGCTCTCTGGTAGAGCTCGCCAGCCAACTTCAGTCGACGGGATCGGTGTCGATGTGCGAACTGTTGCGGCCTTTTGGTAAATGACTTCAGTTCGCTGTCTGGTCCCGTTAGCAGTTCTCTGGTCTCAACAGATTCAGAGGTGCTCACTGGACTACAGGATCCACTTGCGGAACATGATGTTTAGGGTTCAATTGTCGGACCAAGCGATGACGGCCCCCCTTTGGCGGTAGGACGCATGGCACTTGGAGACGGGAACACCCCTAGATCCAACGACTTCCTCGCTGACTCTCATTACAGATGCGTCGCCCCAGAGATGGGGCGGTCATCTGAGGGACCTTCAGGTTCAAGGGGACGTGGCCGTCCGCATATTGCACCATCACATCTATTGGTTGGAGTTGCAGACCGTCCTACTGTCTGAAAATCTTTCAGGAAGTCGCACACCACCACAGAGTTCTGCTTCGGACAGACAACACCTCAGTAGTGTCGTACATCAAGGAGGGGTGGGACGCGTTCCCCCACGTTGTCGAAGCTAGCGGAAGAGATTCTCCTTTGGTGCCTGGATAACCAAGTTGATCTATCGCCATACCACCTTCCGGGGATCCGCAACAGTGGCAGACGCTCTCTCGAGATGTATTCGGTTCCAGTGGCAGACCCCCCAATGGGTGGCGACTGGCCGTTTTGTCTCTGGGATGGGTCCTAGATAGTTCTGTTTGCCAATCACTGGAATGCCAAGCTCCCGACGTACATGTCACTCCTCCCCGAGACGAGCGCTTTCGTCACGTACGCTCTATAGATCTCTTGGAGTCGCAGGGACTCTTACGCCTTTCTCCTTTCAACTGGGCACCAAGTGTTGGAGAATTTGTGACTCGAGCCCACCTGTATACTGACTTGGGTGGCACCCAATTGGCCTGTGAAGGTCTGACTCCCAAAGTTGCTGGAACTTCTAGTCGAGTCTCCCGTAGAGTTGCCGGATCTTCCGGATCTGTTGTCCCAGCCGGACGGCACTCTACCGATGAGCCCCGCGCTATTCCATATTTACGCGTGGAGGCTATCAATTAACTCGTGCAAGCACTAGGCTTTTCTGCAGAGTTGTCCAAGTTACTTTGGCACAGTCGGACGGCACCAGACGTTTGTACGAATCCATATGGAGACCGTACATTGATTGGTGTGATGGAAGGGAGATTGATCATCTCAGTCCCTCTATTAGTGAGGTAGCCGATTGTTTCCTATATCTTTTGATCAAGGAAAATCTATATCAACAAATCTTGGATACCGGTCAGTTTTATTCCCAGTTTTATCAGAATCTGCTGGACTGAAACTGGTTTCGAGTTCTATTATGTTACAACTGTTTTAGTCTTTCTGCTCGAAGGGGCCACGCGCCAAGGGGCTAGCTAATTCTCCTGACTGGGACTTGTCGTTGGTCTAACGGCGTTACCCCTTCGAGTCTATGGATAAGGCGGACACTAAGTAAACAGTTTTTTCTTTTTACTCTAGCGTCACGTAGGCGATGCTCAGAGCTATGGGGCACTGTCCTTTAATGGCGGATGTGCCTCTTTTATAAACTCACTAGTTATTTTGAAGACTCGGCCGGGCTTTCTTGCCAGGAATCCCAGGGCGTGACCCTGAGCCGACTGTCCTCCCACGCCTCACTTACATAGTGGGCAAGGAGGACCATCTGGGACGGATTCTATGCCCAGTCCGAGCTTCGAGTCTGTTATGTTTGTCTGTTATGGGCGAGGCAAACAGAGCCACCCTCCTTCGAATATCACCATTTCGCGGCGGATTGGTTGTATACGGTTGTGGAAGTGTATATTTAACTGCTTCTTCATCGATTTGTTTGCAACACCACCAGGTGAAGGCACACAAGGTATATGGGGTAGCTAACTCATTGGCTTTGATGTCTGGGGCGTCACTCGAGCAGGTGCTTCGAGCAGGGTTCTGGAGATCTCAGAATGTCTTCATAACTATTACCTGAGAGACCTCCAAGCACTGCAGGAGGGTCTCTACAGGTTGGGTCCAGTGGTGGCGGGTCAGTGTTCGTTGACCCAGCCCGCACCACCTAGGGGCCCTATTGCGCGACAGCGGTAATGCGATAGTGTCTTCAGTCGAAACCAGCCATTTTTGCTTGACGCAGTTGGTTTCGTTCGGCGCTATCACACCCCAGCAATACACTGTTTTGAAGCATTAAAATTGTTGGGGCCCTATTTTATTGTTCAGTCGACCGGCTTGGTAAGCCTCCCCATATTGGGGGGGGGGGGGGTTCTACTTGCGAGGCACCCGGTCCCTGAAGAGTGAAGAGTCGCCTGAGTGGTTTTATCCTGGGCCAAGACTCCTCGTTAGCGAGTAGTTTTAGATTTCTCTCAGGTTTTTGACCTTTCTTTTTTGTGTCGAAAAATATACATTTCAGCCGTCGAAGCTTCCCCACCTCCGGTGAGCGTGCTACTCAGCCTACGAGTAATAAATGAAATTTATTATTTCCACGGACTTTCTGGTAGGTGATGTAGTAAACTATTAGGGTTGTACAAACCAGTTTGTTTACCTAATCATACCTACCAGAAAGTCCGCGGAAACCCGCCCACCTCCCCACAAGCTTCCGGCGGCCCGTTGGTGCAGTGGAAACATTTGTGAGATTAAACAGATTGGGCCTCGTGAGCGTGAGCACCCTGAGGGTGACCCCTTAGGAGAGGCCTTTTTACCTTACTCGTACCGTCAAAGATGAAAGGGAAAGGTATATTAAGGGAAAAATGTTGTCCGGTGTCGTCGTCATCTTCGTTAATAATTGTAATTATGTGCATAATAACTTTACTAATTCAAACTTCATCAAACTTGGTCACCTTATTCATCAGTATAAACTCTTCCCTGAGTTTGAACAACAGATGTCCTGTATGAAAATATCATGCAAAAATTGAGAAAATCTGATAAAATATTTTGACTGTTTCTACTTGACTGATCACTGATCTCAGTGAAAATATGCATTGTTGTATGTGTTCAACGAAGCAAATCATTTATCTTGTAATAATATCCTTGGTAATGTATCCCCCAAATCCCATGGGAATACTATACTGGGTTTCAAAATGATTGGTAATGGTACGACCCACCTGTCACTATTTCAGATCAAGGTCATGACCAGGTCATGACATCACTAAAAACCCTAGCATTACAATCTAAGCTAATCATTTATTCTGAGCATGCTCAGTTGTACTCTCAGTGCAGTAGGGAAAGGTAATTTTGGATGAAAGTCTTGAACAAGCAGCCTGTTGACTGAGATAGCTCCGCTGTTAGCAATGCACATTTCAATTAAGAACTGAAGATATCATTAGAAAATGAAAAATATGTATACCGGTAGTATCAAAGTAATCAGACTTGCTGTTTTTCCACAGACTTTCTGGTAGGTATATTTAGGTAAACAAACTGGTTTGTACAAGCCCTAATAGTTTGGTTGCTCTTCTGTACTCTGAGATTATGGACCCGGGTCAATGAAAGTTTTCAGTTATCAGATTAAGGGAAATCACTTGGACGAGTTGTACCCACATAGAGTACATATTATTTCAATTGTTTGCAGATGTTCCATGTATTAATTTAACATGAGTATTTTTAGCCCCTGCCGGATCTATGATCCGGGCGGGGGGTTATTAATTTGGGTCGTGTCTGTGCATCCGTGTGTGCACATTCACGTTACCAGTTTTTTCTCACACATGTTCCAGCGCAATATTTCTGAATATTGTGCTATGTTACCATGAACAAAACTATATAACTTTGATTTGTTAACTGTGCCATGCATGGTTTGTATTAAGTTGACTCCCTTGCAGCTTGTGTTGTGTTGCTCCCCAGCATTTTGTGTTAAGTTGACTCCCTATCAGGTTGTGTTAAGTTGCTCCCTAGCAGGTTGTGTTAAGGTAGAGATGCAGTTTACCGGACAGGTATTTTAATTAGTTAATTAGGAAACCAAGATGACCTCCCTTGTCCACAAAACTATATATTTTCAGGAAGCTTATTGTATGAATTTTAAAATTTTTTTAGTATTTTTTTTATGGACACTGTAGTTTGAAATATGCACAAAAATGTGCTTTTTTGGTCAAAAGTGATTTAAAAAAAATTAGCTTCTAAACCATGCTTCTGTTTCCTGTCAAAATTTGTTTATGGGTACATCTGTTTACTATGAAGAAAGTGCCGTCTTGAAAACTGCCTACCAGTTGTCAATTTTGCAGGGCAGCAGCTCAAATTTCACTATTTCAAGTTTATGCATAAATTAACACCCAGGCTAGTTGTCTGTACGATTGGTGTAACACTGTTCAACCAAAAACAATGCCCGACGGCGTTTTAAAGATAAACACATTGTCAATCATTTGTGAACATTTCAAAACAAAAGGTTGAAGCTGAGATAATTGCTAATTTGCATAACAATTCACTCAGTAAGAAATTTACTAATGCTCGTATTTAAAATTGCTGTAACAGTTCCAAATTTAAATGTATTATTGTTTTGTTAAAAGTTAAATATAGTGCATAATATGGAGATCTCGTCATTTCTTTTTTTCACCATGTTTCATTTTTATTATTTATGTACAGCCTTGCTAAATCTTGCTAAGCATGCAAAAGAGATAATGTTTGCACCTGTTATCTATATTTTTAAAATATGTTTTTTGAGTATGTTCCATTATTCACAATTCTACACAATTTTAACAGTCTATAGCCAAGACTGTTTGGATAATACAAAGCCAAACAAAAAATTTCACTCCCAAGTGCCCACGAACATGCATCTCTACCTTAAGTTGACTCCTTTGTAGCTTGTGTTAAGTCGACTCCTTTGTAGCTTGTGTTAAGTCGACTCCTTTGTAGCTTGTGTTAAGTTGACTCCTTTGTAGCTTGTGTTAAGTTGATCCTTTGTAGCTTGTGTTAAGTTGATCCTTTGTAGCTTGTGTTAAGTCGACTCCTTTGTAGCTTGTGTTAAGTTGACTCCTTTGTAGCTTGTGTTAAGTTGACTCCTTTGTAGCTTGTGTTAAGTCGACTCCTTTGTAGCTTGTGTTAAGTCGACTCCTTTGTAGCTTGTGTTAAGTTGACTCCTTTGTAGCTTGTGTTAAGTTGACTCCTTTGTAGCTTGTGTTAAGTTGACTCCTTTGTAGCTTGTGTTAAGTTGACTCCTTTGTAGCTTGTGTTAAGTTGACTCCTTTGTAGCTTGTGTTAAGTCGACTCCTTTGTAGCTTGTGTTGACTCCTTTGTAGCTTGTGGTAAGTTGACTCCTTTGTAGCTTGTGTTAAGTTGACTCCTTTGTAGCTTGTGTTAAGTTGACTCCTTTGTAGCTTGTGTTAAGTTGACTCCTTTGTAGCTTGTGTTAAGTTGACTCCTTTGTAGCTTGTGTTAAGTTGACTCCTTTGTAGCTTGTGTTAAGTTGACTCTCCAGCAGGTTTTGTTAAGTTGACTCCCCAGCAGGTTTTGTTAAGTTGACTCCCCAGCAGGTTTTGTTAAGTTGACTCCCCAACAGGTTTTGTTAAGTTGACTCCCCAGCAGGTTTTGTTAAGTTGACTCCCCAGCAGGTTTTGTTAAGTTGACTCCCCAGCAGGTTTTGTTAAGTTGACTCCCCAGCAGGTTTTGTTAAGTTGACTCTCCAGCAGGTTTTGTTAAGTTGACTCTCCAGCAGGTTGTGTCAAGTTTACTCATACTCAGGTTTAGGATTTTGGTTATGATTATGCATAAGAAGGTTTTAGTATGACCCCCAGCGGTTTATTCTAGTGTGGCCACTTAAAAGATTGTTTACATTGACCCCCACCCCCTTGCATATTGTTGCAAGTCCTGCATGCATAGTTAATGTTTCGAATTGTACAACATAGAATAAACTTTCTTATTAATGTTATTATTTAATATGCAGAATTTAATTATTGCGCTGAAGTTTACCAACTATGTATTCACCGGAGTTTTTATCTTAGAAGCATTACTTAAGATTTTTGCTCAAGGTGTAGTTCGATATTTTAGAGATAGGTGAGTATGTGTCAGTTTCCTCTATTCATATACATGTACTCGCTGTCCTTTCCCTCCTTCATGTTTTTGAAACCAATTCCAACTCACTGCAAACCATTCAGATTTTAAGAACATTTCTGGCTATCATTCCTGAAATAATTTCACTCAGATTAGTAAATGAGGTCATGTAGATAGTTGTGTCCTGTAATAAAGTGAAATGTTGAGGCTGATGTGTTAATTACTTTTGAAGTTGAAATGAATCTGGAAAACGTCTTGTCTTGTTTGATTTTTTCTTGCATGTATATTTCATGGCATATATAGATTATATAGAAATAATTTATTTATTAGTTTATGTGGAAGTCTGCAGTTCCTTCCTTCCTTCCTTCCTTCCTTCCTTCCTTCCTTCCTTCCTTCCTTCCTTCCTTCCTTCCTTCCTTCCTTCCTTCCTTCCTTCCTTCGTCTCATGATAGGATTCTATTTCACACAGTAAAGCGTTTCTGCTTGTAATGTAAGTGTTTAAATGTTATATCAATCATCTTGAACATGTAACACATTTTGTTGACTGACATTCTTGTTTACTGTCCTTTCCTAGGTGGAACCAGCTAGACATGCTTATAGTCATTCTCTCAATAGTTGGCATTGTCTTAGAAGAAATGGAATCAAATTTTTTACCAATAAACCCAACTATCATTCGAATAATGCGAGTTCTGCGAATAGCCCGAGGTGAGTATTGGTAATGTTAACATAGTGCGTCTCATTTCACTTACTAATAGGCATTTAGTTTTAATACCAGTAAATGCGCATATTTAACATTCACATAAATTGGCACAAGGAAGGCTCGGCTACCAGAGCATGGTGAATTTGTTTTATAATTTTTATAAAAAATATAATTTCCTTTGTCTGCATGTTTTTCCCGTTTCTGATTTCACTGAACCCTCCAACTACTATAGTTTCCATTTTCCAAAGTAGCATGACAACTTGGATGATGGTATGTGTAGAAATACACACATATATTTACCTGACAAAATATTAATTAGTATTAAGTATTAATTTTTCTAGGTATTGTCACTTCTTCTTTGAAAATTCTCTGTCCCACTGGATTGTAGTCCCTTCATTTAAATAGACACATTTACAACTTACA